CCCTCCCCCTCTTCCCACATGGCCCAGCTCAGCCCAGTCACGTCCACTCTGGAGTCTCCCAGGATCCCTGTCTTTGGATATGTTCTCACTTTTATCTACAATAAACTTTCTCCTCCACCATACCTAGGAGCAGTCATATCCTTTTCTTTCCTTTTTCTTTCTTTCTTTCATTCAGAAAATGGCTGGAGAAACATACCACACTTTGTATCTAAAGAGCATGAGGGATTCACAAGACTATGGGTATGTAAATCACCCTCACATCACTAACATCTTGACTTAAAACTCAGAAACCAGGGACTTGACTCACTGCAGTGAAATAGTCTATGAAGCTAAAAACCAAATACTAAAGCAATGTTGGTCTCATTCACAATATCACCAAATGTTCTGAGCATAGAAGATGGTGATTCAGAAAACAGAGACCTGAAGAATAAGGAATGACGTTGGATAAGATTTAGAGCACCTTGAAGTCCCAGCCCTCAGGGAAAATTAGGTCAAGCAACTCTCAGGTTTGATGATGCTGTTTGTTCTATTTTGAAGGCAACTCACTTGCCTAAGGCATTATCTGTGAAGAAGCAGCTAGTTCGCTCCTTTCCTATAAATAGATTCTTATCCTATTAGAACCTGTGCTAGAGTTCAGTTAAAACTTAAGTTGTAGAAAGAAGGTGGTCACAAGATAATTTTGAGTCTGAATTTGTATTGCTGGCTCAAACTACTTCACAGACTTCTTCTAATGATTGACTGATAAAAATGCACACACATTAAGACACACTTAGACACATTCTCACAAGGACTGTCCACCACCACCAAGGTCTGGAAAGCACAGATAAACAGCCTTTGCTCTTTACTCAAACTCCAAGGAGACTTAGTCTTTCTACCTTGCCCCTCCCACATCATTCCCCATCCATGACTTCCTGAGTTTGGTGTGCATGGGTCTTCACTGTACAGGAGCCAAGATATCACCTGGGTAGCTCTCACAACTGGTTCTGCGAGATATTGAGGGGACAGTCAGTCCTATGATGACCAATGCTTTGAGCAGAACATTTGATATCCCAGTCTCAAAGGTAAAAGAAATAATTAAAGGGGAAAATAGAAGGCTCAAATAGATGGTAAAGGAGCCTGCTGCCAAACTTGATGACCTGAGTTTTAACCTAAAGATACGTGGTTCAAGAAGGGCATCAACTCCTGAAAGTTGCCCTCTGACCTCCATATACATGCTGTGTCACACTTGTGTGTGCATGAGCATATGAACATACACTCACACATATGCACACAAAATATATTTTTTAAATGTCTGAAAAACAAAAAAAAAGAAATTATTGAGTGAATACTCTGTTAATGACGACCAATTTAAAAAGATTTTTCTTTTAATATTTTTCTTTTATTATTATTTGTGTGTGTGTGTGTGTGTGTGTGTGTGTGTGTGTGTGTGTGTGCCTGCAGAGGCCAGGAGAGGGTATTGGATAACTTGAAGCTGAACTTACAGCAGATTGTGAGCTTCCTGCTGTGAATCTTGGGAATCAAACTTGGGTCCTTTCCAAGTATAGCAAGTGCTCTTGAAACCTCTGCTGCACCATCTCCCCAGCCTCAGATTTTCCTTAAACATGAAGTAACTGGGTGCCCCAAAGAACAGACATCAGGGGCCATTTATTTCATTAATTATTTAGTCTATCCAGCATCTAACCATCTTTTCTGGTGTGGTACAATTCTCCATTGTAAAGGCCTCCTTGTAAAGGGTTAGGACATAATCCCAATAAGGAAGCTGACAAATGGCAGATGTTTTATTTGTCTGGCAGCTGAGACAAATAAAATGGCAGTTTTATCAAGGTGGACCAGCTAGAAGCTGCAGAGTCCAACGGAAGCAGGTGCAACTGCACTTCTAATCAGACCCACAGGGATGTGTGTGGGCCTGTGTTCTCAGCTCCTCAGGACCCCTACTTCCTGATAGTTTTTAGTGTGGAATATGCCAGCATTTCTTTGCCAAAATGTCCTTTAGTAACCAATATGACCAGAGATGGCTTCTGCTATTGATAAGTCCAAACCTTCCCAGTAGAAGTGTTCACATCTAGTAATTGCTACACAAAAGATGAATAGTGAATGGTACCAAGTGCTTGTTTTTACTCTTTATTAATCTACGTCCCTTTCTATCAACTATAGTAATTTTTAATCTGTTTTGGAATGATTTTTCTAACTACTTAATCATTCTAGATGTCCCTCTAAAGCAGCTCTCCTCTTCTTCTCTGTCAGTTTGTGATGATAACAAAATAGGAGGTTTCAGAAATAACCAGAAATAGCTAGAATGTTTTTCATATTTTGTTTGACTAGATGGTATAAAATGGCATGCCCTTGACTTAATATCTAGAAATTTGACTTAAAATTCTTAAAGTCCCTTTTGATTAAGACCTTAAAGAGTGATAATATATTTTTTAATATGGCAGAGCATTTTTTTTTCACACCTGGCCTCAAACTTTAAAACACCCTGCCCCAGCCTCCTAAATTCTGGGATTACAGATATTGTTATGAAACATCATGTGAGAGGCCTTTGTAGGTTGGGCCAAGGTGCTCTGGTTGGTGTGGGAGACACGATGTGGATGCAGTGGGCAGGCTGCAGCATGGAGCAGTGGAAAGTTACTCACACCATGCAAACATATGTCCATGTGAAAAGTTTATTATTAAAGGGAGAGAGGAGAGAAAGAGAGAGAGTGTGCTATCTCAGGTGAGGGGGGGGGAGAGATCTAGTGAAGGAGGAGTTTTTTCTTAAAGGGGACTTTGCATAAGGTGACATCAAATTCCTGGGTGGGTCCCCAAGGGGTGGTTCAGAATACTAACAGGTATGTCCCACATTGTCTGGATAATAATTAATTTAGTATTGTTTTAGCATGACATTCTGTTTTATTTTCTTGGTTGAGGCTATATACTTAGTTAATTAATTGATTTATGAAAACTAAAGAATTGTGTGGGTCATAAGGTACAAAGAATCCTTACTAAAAGAAATGGAATCAGTAAATCATGAGATACCTAAACTTTCATGTTCACTGCCACACTATACATAATGGCTGTCCTGGTTATTTTTATTGTCAATCTGATACAGTCTAGAATCACCTAGGAAGAGGGAAGCTCAAAGAAGAATAATTGCCTTGACCATATTGTCCTGTCACTATGTCTATTGGGGACTATCTTTGATGGCTAGTTGGTGTAGGAGGGCCTAATCCACTGTGGGCAGCACCATTCCTTAGGCAGATGGTCCTGGGCTGTGTAAGAAATTATTTGAACATGAGCCAGTGAGCAAGCCAACAAGTATTGCTCCTCCATGATTTTTTGTTTCAGTTCCTGCTTGAGTTCCTTCTCTGACTCCTCTCAGTGATAGACTGTGACTGTGAAATATAAGCTGAAATAAATCCTGCCATCCCTTAAGTTTGGTCAAAGTATTTCATGACAGCAACAGAAGAGTAAGTACAACAGTAGCCAATATACAGAACCTCAGTGTCCATACACAGAGGAAGGAATGAAAGAAGCATAGCATGCATAAGTATGCAGTGGAAATGATGCTTAATCATGACTATCTACTTGACCAGATTTAAAGCTAACAAGGAGACTAGTAAGCCACACCACCTCACATGTCTGTCATTTCTAGAGAGATGAGATCATAAGTGTCCAGATCTACTTAACGGTTTACTCCATTGACTAATGGTGAATAGACCCTTTGGAGATGGTGGAGTATCAAAGGTTAGGCCTGTAGAGAAGAGGCAAGTCATTGAATGGGTATGTGCAAAGGAAATATCTTACCCTGGCTTTCTTTCTGTAATTGCTCAGCTTTTTGGCTGACACACTTGGTCAGTCTCCACCACACCTTTTCCACACGAAGAACTGAAATCTCTGAAGCACAGCAGAACAAATCCCTTCTCCCTTGATTTTGGAGAGGAGGGGTTAGGAATTTTACCACAGTGTCAAAAGGGCAACTGACACAATAGTGTATAATTCAGCCATAAAAATAATTAAATTCTGTGATTTAGAGCTACTTGGACGGAACTGGAGGACATTATGTGATGAGAAGCTTGGAAGACAAATAACATATGCTTTCACTCATTTGTGGGAGTGCAGATTGTCAATCACATCGAAATAGGAAGTAGAAAATGATTATTAGGGCCTAGGAAAAGTGTTGGAGGTAGTAGGAACAGAAGGAGGTTAGATGATGAGTAACAAAATAGTGTTAGGTAGAAGAAATATATTCCACTGTCTGCAGCATGATAGGGTGACTCAAGTTTATAATAATTTATTATACATTTTATAAAGATCCAGAGGAGGGAGTATTCAATGGCTCCAAACACAAAGCAAAGATAAATGTTTAAGGAAATGAAAGGCTAATTACCTGGCTTTGATTATCACACATTGTATATTGTATTGGATTCTCACACTGTACCTCATAAATATATGTTATTATGTGTCAATTAAAAGAGAAGAAAAGAAAAAAAAAGCATCAGTAAAAGTAGAAGATAAATGATCACTTCTGCTGAGCTAGGTACCTAATACAAAAGCTTCTCTTTTTTTCTCCAACCTCTAAAAAAGCTACAGTCTAGTTGCAAAAGTTATGCTGTAATTGCCAAGCACAAAGAGTCTCATAGAGAGAAAACTTTCTCTCTTGGGTTTTAAAGGGCAAGATGCAGATTTTTAGCTAAGACTCTGTACTGCTAAAACTCTCTCTTCTAGCCTTTCTTGCATCTTATGAATGTCTTAACTATTTCTCCCCTCTTCTTTTCCACTTAACCTCTTCCTAGCTTATTTCTTATGGACTCTTACTGCTGTCATTTCATTTATTGGTGGTTTATTTTTGAATGTTTTCAATCTAACCTTAAGAAATTTGCAATGCAATTGGCTCTTTTGGCAGGGGGGTCTTAAGAAGAACTATTAGAGTCTGTGGTGGATGGAAAGATTTTTAGTCAGTTTCCATAAATGTGTGTCTAATAGGAAATAACCTGCAGTGACATTCCTTATTGCTCCAAGCCCAGAACACCAGGTCTTTGTGATTTTTAAAAAACACTCCTAACCACCAGAAGCCATTCCACTCTTCAGCCTTGCTAGAAGGTCCTCTGCTCCAGAGTGTATTCTAATTAGTCTAAATCTACCCTTAAGCACATTCCCTTACTAGGAACTGTTTTGGAAATGTGACTTAACACAGTTCTGTCCAGCAAGATAAAAGAAGTACCCTAAGGTTCGAGGGACAGGCTTCATTACTGACAAAAAGAGATGGTGAGGGCTGCTCCTTCCCCTCTTTGGACATTGTGATGTCTGTGTGCAATATTTGGGATGGCAGCAGTTATCCTGGCATGGTGATTTCACCAAAGCAAACACTAGGGGATGTCAAGAATTAGAAGAAATATGGGTCCTTGTATCCTGAGTCAATCAACTCTGAAGTTGCCTTATAGGTCAGGATGCTTTCAAATTGAAGTTTAATTTTGTTTTTAAAAAACATTTGAATTAAAAAAATTACTTAGTCTATGTGTGACTATGCATAAGAGAATGTGAATGTGCTCGGAGGCCACTGCATTCTGAAACTGGAGTAACAGGCAGTTTGGGAGCTGTCTGGTTGTGGGTCCTGGGAAGTAAACTTGGGTTCTCCATGAGGGTGGCAAAGCCATTTGTCCAGCCATAATTTTTTGAACATTCAGATTGGATCGATGTCTTAGTTGTTTTCTCATTCCTGTTGCTGTGAAATATGCTGTGACAAAGGTGACTTAAGGAAGGAAGGGTTTATTTTGGCTCACAGTCCATTATGGCAGGGAAGGCATAGCTACAGGAGAATGAGGCACTTGATCACATGGCATCTGCAGTGAAGGAGAAACAAGTGATAAGCACTGGTCCTTAACTTGCTTTCATCTTTTTATTCAGCCCATGTACCCAGTTGGAGTGATACTATTCACATTTAGGATTGGTCTTACCTTAATACAATCTAGAAACTCCCTCATAGATATGTATGGAGGTTTTTCTGATAGGTAATTCTAGATCTTGTCAAGTTGACAATCAATATTAACCATCACAGTGGATCAGTGTTTTCTGTTCTGTGCATCTCAACATGTGTCTTGGGAGACATTTGCACAGGCTTTTCCATTATTTCAGTAATGGACCTGCCATGTTCAATTTCTTGATTTTTTTAAAACTCACCTGTGTATACAATGTTTCTTTTTGGTAGTTTCTTGTGGTAGATCACCTAGCTAATACTCAAGAATCATCAGTACATTGTAAAACATCCATCACCAAGTTCCTAACTGGAGAAGTGGGGGAATTAAACCCTAGAAATAAAGCAACAAGCAGTTAAAAATGTACAATACGATCAAATAACTCCAAATGGAGAGTTTCATTAATAGTGTTTACAAGATTTTCCAAGCACCAGCCCAATAGACACACAACTTAAGAATATGTCAATCTCATAGAGCTATGGAAATGGCTCAGAGTGTCAAGTACTTGCTGCATAAGCATGAGGACCTGAGTTCAGATCCTCAGAACCCTTGTAACATTGAACATAGTAGCATACATCTGTAATCCCACCTCACCTATGGTAAAATGTAAGGTGGAGACAGAAGAACCTCTAGAAGCTCACGTGACAGGTAGTCTGGTATAAGCATCCTTAAACAAAAGAGAACCAAGACCTGAGGTTGTTTTCTGACCTCCACATTCAAGACTGAATGTCAGTCTTCAGATTGCCCGCCAACTATTTCAAGCAAAAAATGCCTTCTAAAAGGCTAGAACTCATATTCACCTTGCAAAACAAAACAATGAATCAGTGGTATCAGAGGAAAAATGTTTGGGCAGAGAAGAGAAATTCTTTAGTAAGACTTACCAAGATGGACATTATTCTCTGCCAGTAGCACAAAGTACCAGTGGGATGTAAATTCCACTGGAAGAAATCTCCTTCAATTGTTTAATTGCTTAATACGAGCACTGTGTGTTCATTATATCTGAGGAGGAAGGCTTGACCTATACATCACTTCACCTCTCGGATAGAAAATTCAACACTTCACTGAGGGAGCAATTCAGATCTGTTGCCTTTCCTCAGAAGTATAGCAACACTCATGGGCCCTTGTTATCTCCAATTTTTCTCCTGCCAGTTGCTCTTCAACCCACTTGAGTAAATCTTCTTGATGCCATTGCTTCCTGGAAAACAGTTCTTGCTAATGTCAATAATGACCTCCATCTTGCTGGATGCATTCTTATTTTACAGGACCTCTCAACAGTAGAAGCATTGTCTAATTTACCTTCTTAAATATTCTTGGTGCCCTGTCTAGTTCCTTGCATATAATAAGTACTCAAAACATTTCTGAATGAATGAATGAATATGTAGTCTATATCACATGGTTTCTTCAGGATAGCATCAAATGTAGAATTAAAAGGCCTGAATATATAATATTAAAACATAATTTGGTGGAATTTTGCACAGTAAGACTAAGGTATATAATTGTTGCATTTTTTAAAGAGCAAATCAACAACAAAAATGCTTTTGCTTTAAACACCAATGATGATGATGATGCCAAACCTACTTAAGAGTCACCTCTTTTAAAACAGTCTTCTCAACACATTTCCTTGCCCAATATCAAGTGCACAGTGCAACACTTTCATTCAATCTTTCTATAGACCTCACCTTTTCTTGATTTCTTTACCATCCTTCATCACTCCCTTCATGCTCTGAAAGAGTGGTTAAGACCTGACTATTTGACAAGAGAGAGTGAGGAAAATAAAACCTGTTTTTCAGTCTTACTTATCTATTACATCAATTGCCAGCTAATTATTGCATTATAGCAAGTAGCCAAAAGTGATGAGTATCCTTTGTAGAAATGACTCTAACTGAGAGCTGGGCCAAGAAGAGCCAGCTGGAAGATCCTGCTGCTCAAACTAAAGGGAAGCCACAAAGTCCATGTAGCTTCCAAATTTATTACTTAGGCAGCAAATCATATTTCTGTTTCTTTGGTTTTCCCCCTGCCCCCCTGCCTTGGTAAATTTCTTAAGATCTCAGTTAGAAACAGAGGCAGTAGACCACACCAATTCTTGTCATTGATAGTCTTTTGAGAAAAATCAATGTTAGCTTATTTAGGACATTTTATGTTTGGTTGTTTTATCTTTTACTGTATGGGTGCATCATTCTAGTATCCAGTGCCCATACATAACTGGGAAAGCTGTTTACCCAGAGCATCCAAAGAGAGGGCTTCTGAATGAATGTCAGTCAATGTCATAACTTGTAAAGAGAATGCATTAGTTTTTTGTTTTGTTTTGTTTTGTTTTGCTGTGTATAAATAGCTAACAAAAAGCAACTTAAGAGGAAAATTTGGACTTACAGTTCAAGGAGGTACAGGCCACCCTGGTCCAGGGGGATGAACTGGCTGATCACATGGCATCAGTGCTTAGGAAGTAGAAAAAGTAAACAGGAAGTTCACAAAGCTATAAAACCTTAAAGCCCACCTCCAGTTATCCACTTTCTCCAGTGAGGATTTATTTCCTGAATGCTCCACAACCTTCCCAAACAACACCACCAGCTCGGGACCAACAGTTCAAACATATGAGCTTAGATGTCTTAGGGTTTCTACTGCTTTAATAAAACACCATGACCAAAAGCAACATAAGGAGGAAAGGGTTTATTTCATATTGCAGTTGAAAGATCAAGGAAGACAGAGCAAGAACTTAAGGTAGGAATCTGGAAGCAGGGGCCATGGAATAACTCTGGATGTTCCTCATGGCTTCCTAAGGCCTGCTTCTTATACACCCCAGGACAACCTACCTAAGAATGAAATCACTCATGGAAATCTGGAAACTTCCATAGGCCAGTCTGATGGGGGCATTTTCTCAATTGAAGTTCTCTCTTGCCAAATGACTCTAATTTGTGCCAAGTTGACATAAAACTAGCCAGCACAGGGGACATTTCACATCCACAAAGGAGGGATTGAATTGGGGGTGAGGATCTTCAAAATGGATCAAAATCATCAACTGGGAAAGAGGCTATGGGGTTGGAAGCTATTGGAACTGGGACCAGGTTGAAATGCAATATACTGAATGAACACAAGAAGAGGGCCTGGCTATCTGTAAGTGGGTATTTAGAGCTCAAACTGATAAAACAGAAGGGAAGACTAGCATGGCTGCCTGCCGACTTTTTACATCTAGACATGTTTCCTTACATATTGGGATATTGGCAAGATACTTTTCTGTGCCCAGCTCAGCCTTGCCAAGTGTCACTCCCCTATGAAGTCAACAGAGGTAAACAATCCAATACCCGCTCCCTCATCACCAGCTATGTATCCTGGTTGCCTTTGGAATAACATTTTTTTTTTTTCTGAAACCCATATGTGGCATCTTGCTTTAATTTTTTAGGGGCTATTTTTCCTTTTAAGGCAAAACATACTCTCAATTTTTTTTTTTTTACCAATTCTCTAATTTCCTATATTTCAGAAAGCAAACACTATGATAGCCACATGGTGGCTAAATGTGGACAAAGTAGCACACCTCAAAATCAGGCATCGAATCCATGAGTAAACTTTTTGGTGATAGTGTGTTTATGATGACATTTCTAAGCAACTCTCTTAAGTTTTCTTTAAAACTGAGGCCTTGGGAGGAAGTGAATCTTCACACTAAATATAGTTATACAGTCCTATGCACTGACATTCACAAAGAAAGGAGAAAACCCAGGAGCCCCATAGTGATGGATGAGGAATTCAGGAGAAGAGTAAGAATGCTGCAGTGAGGAACTGGTTACTTAGCAAGAACAGGGAAAGTAGGGATGGACATGAAGGTTAAAATAATCCCTTCTCATACTGAGTTATGAAGCATAACTTCATATGCTTCATAACTCAGTATGAGAAGGGAGCATTCAGATGCTCCACTATGATAGCCACACGATTCAGATTCCCTAGCAAATGGGTTAAAGTCAACTCCAGGAACTTTTTCATTAAGATTTCTATTTATATATTCTTTGAAAATATCTCACATGTATAAAATACATTTTGATCATATCCACCTGCTTAACTTATCAGGTTCTCCCAATCATCTCCTGTATCTCCTTCCAAATTTCTGTGTCTTTTTTTTTTTCTGAAGCACTTAGTCCAAATAGAACTGCCTGTACGTCTATCCACCTGAGCATGGGCAACATCCATGAATAAAACTGAATTTCCCTCCCTCACAGCCACTAATGGTCAATAATTCTCAGCTATTGGCCTAATGGGACCTCAAAAGCCCACCCTCTATTCCTGCTAGAACACTGACTGGCTTATGCAGGAAGCCCCAGCTGCTGTGGGCTCGAGTGCAACAGCATCGTCCTGTCCATAAGTCAGCATTGTACAACACTCCTCCTCGACCTCTGGGTTTTATAACCTTTCTACTGCCTCTTTTCTGATATCCCCTGCATTTTCAAGAACTTTACAGAGTAACACATACATATCCAAACAGAATATTGCTTTGAAAAAGGACCATGAGCATGTTGTCACCTTTGGAACAAGGTGGGCCTCAAGTACATGGATTTTAGTCTTCTAAGTTTAGAGATTGTGTTAATTATAAGAATCCTCATGAAGTGTTTATTAATAGGCCCATGAGTGAATGGCAAAGAAAATGACACAGATTAGATATGTCTAATCATAGAATGAGAATAAGACTAGGAAGAATATTTGAATAAAACCCAGTTATAAGGGACAAAAAAATGGATCTAGTACCTCTGAAAACTTACTGGAGACTAAAGCTCAAGAATGTGACTGCCCAGCTACCCAACCTGAATAACAGGTGCAACAGAAGGGCTTGATGCACTTGGGCATAAATTTCCAGAATGTTTCAGAAAGCTAAGCTATAGGTGATACCTTTTGTGTGTTGCTCAGTTGCATGAAAATATTTGCAAAGAGCTGTAATTGAGAACAGGCCTCAAATATTTTGGAAGCATGCAAGATACCAGTTTATTTCAAGAGAATACTGGCAGTGAGAATCCTCAAGGAGTACCTAAAGGAAAATGGCAGAATTCAATAGGCTATGGGCTTTCCTGTGGAAAACTACCAAAGGATCTGACTCATGTTGAACTCTATTATGGTTTTCTTTTATATTTTTTTTACACAGTGGCTCAATTAGCACCTGAGAGTTCTCACTTTCTCAATAGGCCACCTATCAAGTCATGTCTCAGGTTATAGCCCTACTGTGAGTACAGATTGTCATAGGCCAAGTCTCATGTTACTACTACCCACACTGCTCTTAATTCAGAAAATGGCTACTTAGCCCTTCTCCTCTCTCCAGCCACTTTGTGTCTGTCTTTATTTGTATTACTTTAGCCACCATTTCTATCTAGTGCCTTTTCTTGTATCAGGCATTTACAGGAATGGGCAGTGTCCCTTTTGGTACCTAATCTGTTTTGGCTGTTGGCTCAATTGCTAGAGGAGGTTCAGTTGCTTAAAATGATACTGGTCCCAGTAGAGCCAGTGTGGTATTGTAGACTGGGCTCATGGTCACTGCACCTTATTCCTATAAACATGTATCCCCTTTTCCAGAGTTGAGTTCTATGCCACGAAAGAAAGAGGCTTGGTCCAAGGGCCTTCAATTCAATTCTTAATTGGATAAACCATTTTCATTGTTACTTAAGTGGAACCGATAATGGAGTCCACTCAGTGCAATGCTACAAATTGCTGTTCTATTGCCGTATACTGAGTTTATGCCTCTTTCTATCATGAAGACTAAAATCTTTCAGGGACTATTTATTCATATTATTTCTACTACACTCTTAGTTTTAGCCCTCTGAGCTTCTAGTTACTTCCAACACAAAAGAACACTTGAACAGCAAGACACAAAGATGTTAAGCCTGTCCTACAAAGACCTAAACTTGTTCAAAAACCAACCTTAGCATTTTGGTCCGAATCCCATGTGGATTTTCTTTTCTTTCTTTCTTTCTTTCTTTCTTTCTTTCTTTCTTTCTTTCTTTCTTTCTTTCTTTCTTTCTTTCTTTCTTTCTTTCTTTCTTTCTAAATTAAGTTTTATAAAGGGCAAGACACTTCAGCAAGCTGGGTATGAAAATGAACTGGTGGCCCAGAATCTCTCAAAAACCTGCAATTGTTTTGTGTTCATATAGGTGCAGACAATTGTAGGCTTTGCTTAATAATGTTGTCAGGTATCATATGGCTCATTCCAAACCATAACACACCCAAATATTTTACAGCTGCTATTCCTGATCCTAGTAATGTGTGCAAACTGATTTTAAACATCACTCTTTTGGTTGCCCTTGTATAACTTTCAGATGTTTTTCTGAGTCCATGAGACACTTAGAGGTTAGTATTATATCATCTGTGTAATGAAAGCTTTTCACAGAAGGTGGGCAGGATAACATAACAAGGTCCTGAGCCACTCTCCCATGACAAATAGTAGGATGGTAAAGGTAACCTTGAGAGGGTACTCTGCAAGTGAACTATTGTCCATTCCAGATGAATTGGTCTCAGAGTTCAGTAACTAAGTAATAAATAAATAAATGAATTAAAAAATAAGAAAGAAGGAAAGAAAGAAGGAAAGAAAAAGAAAGGAAGGAAGAAGGAAGGAAGGAGGAGGAAGGAAGAAGGAAGAAAGGAAGGAAGGAAGGAAGGAAGGAAGGAAGGAAGGAAGGAAGGAAGGAAGGAAGGAAGGAAGGAAGAAGGAAGGAAGCATGGAAAGATCTCTTAAGATTTATTTGTCTTTGTTGTTTCCTCAGAAGAGTGATGCTGAGTGGTAGTGTGAATGGGAGACACTGCTTTAGCACTTTACAATCCACTATCATTCCCCATAAACTCTTGCTTTCTCACAAGGGTTGCTGCTACAAGGATGCTGTATACCTCCACTGAGGTCCTGGGCAGGGCTAGCTTGTACTGCTTTGCCCTGCTTGGCCTAAGGACAAGCAAGAATGACACTGCAGTATTTCAGACATGTTTTTTTTGCTGTAGGCAGGTGCCCCAGTGTCAGGGACCAAACATGAACCAGGGAAAAGTACTAGCTAGGCCAGAGAACAAGCCACAGGCCCTAAACCAGATGCCCTCAAGATAAAGAACATTCCACAGTCAGGTAGCATAGCAACAGAACAATGGGCCCTGACCAGTGACCTTATCACCTAGTACAACATCCTGCAGCCTCACAACTTGCATGCCCTCCTTCACCTGAATGCCCCCCCTCAACTGCACGTCCTGCACGTTCTGCACTCCTTTCCTTCTTCCTGCCCCCTCCCCCTCCCATGCTATATAAGCCTTGCTGAGGAAAATAAAATTTGCAGCTTGATCAGAACCCTGTCTTGCTGTCTTCCTTCATGTCTCCTGTCCCTTTCATTCTCTCCTGCAGGTGGGTCACCCCCATTGAGACCCCGCTGACCGGGGTAAATGGTGCTCAACATGAGGCTCGACCTTCGCCTCGTTGGGAGCTGAACGTCCTTCTCCAGGAAAGTCCAGATGTCTGGTGGAGATATTTTTGCTGATCGTCCGTTGAGACCACTCAACTCGACACCCTTTCTTGAGGATCCGGAGGAGAGCGAGAAGGACAGGGTTAGTCTAAACTTCAGACAGGGAAGTTCTTCCCATGGTCTTTTCTCTAAGGGCATTAAAGAGGCCCCCAAGACATGAGGGATAAGGGTTCGTAAAAAAGACCTCAACAAATTCTTTAGTTACTTAGAGGACTGTTGTCCCTGGTTTCCCCAAGAAGGAACGATTGATGAAAAACACTGGAAAAGGGAAAAGGGTGGGCGACTGGCTTACTGACTACTACCACGTCTTTGGCCCAGACAAAGTCCCTGTTGTAACCTTTTCCTATTGGAACCTTGTTAATGATAGTCTCAGGATCCAAAGGACCTCCCCTCCCCTGACATTGAGTCGGTTATTTCTCAGGGACAAAAAGTCATGAAAGAACAGTCTTGTCTCCCCTCTCGCGCTAATTCACATCCTCCCCACTCCCCCCCCCACCCCCTTCATGAGCGCCCTCTATACAGATTAAAAATACGGAAGAAGGAGCCCAATCACCCCCACCTCAGTCTACCTAACCCTCCCTCCAGGGTCTTGACCTGGCCCTCCTTAACCCTGGTGATGAGGCCGGTCAAAAAAAAAAGAGGCTGCCAAATATCATAATTCTGATTGGCCACCTCATGTGTCCTTGGCCCCCTTAACCCCCCTCTCACAAAAGCCACTCCCAACAAAGACACCATACAATCTTACTCAGGCTCCTCCTTATGACGCCCTTCCCATTGCTCCCTTGTGTGCCCCAGTCATTGAGGCCCCTGCAGGTTCACTGCTGGCGCTCCCAATGCCGACCCCCGATGATCCAGAAATCCCCCCTAATCTCGTAACAGAATTTCAGTGCCTACAGGGCACACTTCGGGCCCACAGACAAGACCTGGCCCTTCTTCTTCTTCTTGTTTTTTTTTCTTCTCATTTTACGATTTTTTTTTAAAATTTTATTTTACAATACAATTCAGTTCTACATATCAGCCATGGATTCCCTTGTTCTCCCTCCTCCTGCCCCCCTCTCCTTCCCCCAGCCCACTCCCCATTCCCACCTCCTCCAGGGCAAAGCCTCCCCTGAGGACTGAGATCAACCTGGTAGACTCAGTCCAGGTAGGTCCAGTCCCCTCTCCCCAGGCCAGGCTAGTGACCCTGCATAAGCCCCAGGTTTCAAACAGCCAACTCATACAATGAGCACAGGACCCGGTCCCACTGCCTGGATGCCTCCCAAACAGATCAGGCCAATCAGCTGTCTCACCCATTCAGAGGGCCTGATCCAGTTGGGGCCCCTCAGCCATTGGTTCATAGTTCATGTGTTTCCATTCGTTTGGCTATTTGTCCCTGTGCTTTATCCAGCCTTGGTTTCAACAATTCTCGCTCATATAAACCCTCCTCTTTCTCACTAATTAGACTCCTGGAGCTCCCCCCAGGGCCTAGCCATGGACCTCTGCATCCAGATCCCTCAGTCATTGGATGGGGTTTCTAGCACGACAATTAGGGTGTTTGGCCATCCCATAACCAGAGTAGGTCAGTTCCGGCTGTCTCTTGACCATTGCCAGCAGTCTATTGTGGGGGTATCTTTGTGGATTTCTGTGGGCCTCTCTAGCACTTTGCTTCTTCCTATTCTCATGTGAAGACCTGGCCCTTCTAAAGGAACTTCACTCCCTTGATCAGGAGCTCTCTGATCTTGCCTTGGGCGCCCCCAAAAACTCAGCCTTCCTCACATTTCCCTCACTCAAAAAAACTCCCTCACAGCCAGTTTTGGCTTTTCCCATTACCCAAAGCCAGGCAAGTGGATCTGATCTGCCAAGTCTGCCCTAGATGGAGGAATTGCCTCCCCTTGAAGAGGAGGAGGGAGAGACAACCCCCTCCCACGAGGAGGAGCCCCGGTTACGGGCTCCGGGGCCGATCAGGGCCCCTAACCCGGTCAGTCTTACCAAAAACTTAGCTTTCGCTTTGTTGAGCACCTTAAATCAGCCTGTGCTCAGTATGGCCCCACTGCTCCCTTTACCCTTGCGTTGCTAGAAAACCAGAGCGAGGCCTGGCTTATGCCAAATGATTGGTATTTTTTGGCCAGTGCCACCCTGTCTGGGGGTGATTTTGTTCCATGGAAAACTGACTTTTCAGAAAACTGCCACGAGACGGCCCAGTGCAACGCTGATGACCCTTCCTCAAAACATTGGACCATTAATAAACTACTTGGCAAAACTCCTTATGACAAAAACGAGGTCCAGGCCACCTTTCCACCCGGCTTATTGGCCCAGATTCAGGTTGCTGGCCTTCAAGCCTGGAAACGACTTCCCCAAAAAGGCGAGGCTACCAGCTCATTGACCAAGGTGCATCAGGGACCAGGGGAGCCCTAAAGTGTCTCAATGACTCTCAATGACGCTGCTGAGCACCTCTTGGGCTCAGGAGAAAGCGAAAGCACATTTGTTAAGCACCTTGCCTTTGAAAATGCAAACCCAGCCTGTCAGGAGGTTCTTCGCCCCCACAGAGATAGGGCCCCCCTTTCTGAGTACGTCTGCCTTTGTGCTGGAGTTGGCTCCGCTTACACCATAGGTTTGGCTATTGGTGCAGCCCTAAAGTCGGTGGGTGCCCAAAATTTGAGATCCCAACAAAGTCGCCTTTGCTTCTCCTGTAAACAACCAGGACATTTTGTGTGGGAATGCCCCAAGAGGATCCCTGCCCTCTTGGGGGGCATGGCCGAGATGCCCCAGCCTGGGGTCACCACTCAGCCACTACCATCCACCCCAAGTCCTAGATGTGGCCATGGCCTTCATTGGGCGAGGTAATGGAAATCTAAAACTGACGCTCATGGTCACCTGCTCCCTCCCACCCATGGGGCCCCTGGCCCCTCCGCCCCCCATGGGGCCTCACAGGCTGCTCCCCAACTGTCTGCTCCCTCCAATGGGCAATCCCAGGTAGCACAGGCTTGGACCTCTGTGCCACCACCGACACAATACTAGACCTGTGCCAGGGCCCACAAGTCATCCCTACTGGGATTTGGGGCCCCCTACCCCCAGACACCCATGCCCTTATCCTTGGCCGTGCCTTAAGAGGTGTCCAGATCTATCCCGGAATTATTGATAATGACTATACAGGAGAAATTAAGATTTTGGCCTCAGCACTCTATGGTCTTGTTGCCGTCCCCCGCCACCCGCCTTGCCCAGCTGGTTACCCTCCCCGTGCTTTCCTCTGATAACCCTATTCAGTCCACCCAGCCCCAAGGAGCTTCTCAGATTGGCTCATCGGAGGCTTATTGGATTCTGCCTATTTCCCACTCTCGATCCACACTTACCCTTAAACTAGACGGCAAAAAATTCCAGGGGATTCTAGATACTGGCGCTGATGTCACTGTGATCTCCCAAGACCACTGGCCCTCCTCCTGGCCCCTCATCCCCTCCCTCACCAACCTCAAGGGCATAGGTCAATCCAACAACACCCTCCAATCCTCTAAAGTTCTAACCTGGTCAGATGAGGAGGGTAACCAGGGTACTGTGACCCCCGTTGTGGTCCCTGGGATCCCTGACAACCTTTGGGGCTGAGATATTCTCTCCCAAATGAAAGTCATCCTCTGTAGCCCAAATGAGGTAGTTACCCAACAAATGTTACACATGGCCTTCATCCCAGGAAAGGGTCTCAGTAAATTTCAACAGGGCTGAACCCAATCCATTGCTCCCGCTAATAAGACAGACAGGCTCAGTCTTGGCTTTGAGGGTTTTTAATTGAGGCCACTGCTCCCCCTGTACACCATGCAGACAAAATCACTTGGCTTACCCATGAACCTGTGTGGGTATACCAGTGGCCTCTGCCACAAGAGAAACTACAGGCGGCAGAGATGTTGGTACAGGGACAGCTTGCCGCCAGTCATATTGAACCATCCAATCCCCCATGGAATATGCCCATCTTTGTCATAAAGAAAAAATCTGGGAAATGGACACTCCTCCAAGACCTGCAAGCCGTTAATAGGTTATACAGCCCATGGGCGCCCTCCAACCAGGCATGCCCTCACCCATCGCCATCCCTGAGGCCTATCACAAAATGGTTATCGATTTAAAAGATTGCTTCTTTACCATTCCCCTACACCCCGATGATCGAGCTTACGTTGCCTTTAGCCTCCCTCAGGTTAATTTCCAGGGCCCCATGCTCCGCTTTCATTGGAGTGTCTTACCCCAGGGAATGGCAAATAGCCCGACTCTCTGCCAAAAGTTGATGTCTCAGGCGGTCGATCCTATACACCAAAAATGGCCCTCTACTTATATCTTACATTACATGGATGACCGCCCCTAACTCCTCCATCCTAGAAGCAACCTTCCAAGATCTGTCACAGGCCCTTAGTGCTGCTGGCCTACAGCTCACCCCTGATAAGATGCAGCGCCCTGCGCCCTTTAGTTATCTGGGTCTTGAATTGCATTCCAATCGAGTCTTGGTCCAGTGCATCCAGCTGCGCATGGATAACCTTACCACCCTTAATGATTTTCAAAAACTTCTCGGGGACATTCAATGGCTTCGACCATACTTAAAACTGCCTACCGCTGATCTTCTACCCCTCTATGACATTCTTCGAGGCCCGAGTGAACCCACCTCCCCCGTCAATTAACCCTGGCTGCCCATAAGGCCCTGTCACTAATCGCCAGAGCCATTTCCTCCCAAGCCTCTTTTCAGATTGATTACTCCCTCCCTTTGGTTTTTGTTGTCTTATCTACTCCCATGTGTCCACCAGGGTCCTTTGGCAGAGTTCCCCTTCCACATTAAGGGCCCAGCATAAACTTAAGAGTCATTCCATCTTATGGATTCATATGTGTGCCAGTCATAGTAAGGTCATTCCCACCTATCCTCAACTTGTTTCTTCCCTAATCATGTGTGGTCACCAGACCTTGTGTCAGATCTTCGGTAAGGACCCCGATTCCATCCAAACTCCCTACACCCGTGAACAAACTCAATTTTGTTTCAGACACTGGATTGTTGGGGTGTTGCCTTCTCAGGGTCCCTGGGCCTTCTTGACAGTCACCTCCCCGATGACCCAGTCCTCCATTTTGCATGTACTCATCCCTTTATCTTCCCAAAAGTCATTTCCCCCAGCCCCTTGCCTGATGCCCTGGCCGTCTTTACCGATGGGTCAGCCAATGGCACTGCAGCTTATGCTTTTCAAGGTCACTCGTTTCCCTTTCCTTCGCCCTTTCGTTCAGCTCAGCTGGTTGAACTCTTTGCTGTTCTGCAGGTTTTTCAGGATTTCCATGATCCCCCCCCCCTTAACATTTACACTGATAGTGCATACATTGCTCATTCAATTCCCCTTCTTGATACAGGCCTCTTCATTAAGCCCACCTCCAATGTCAGTCCCCTTTTTGCTCAAATTCAACAAAAACTTAGAGAAGCTCCCATCCTGTTTTCACTGGCCACATCTGTGCTCATGGGGAGCTTCCTGGCCCCCTCACAGAGGGAAACGCTCTGGCTGATACAGCCACTCGCCAGGTTTTTCCAGTCCTACAAGAGCCCATCCTGCTGGCTTCTCGCACCCACCACCTCCACCATCTTAATGCCAAAATCCTTCGGTTAAAGTTCAAAATCACAAAACAACAAGCTAGAGAGATAGTTAAACAATGCTCTTCTAGTAGTCTCCCATCCCATCCCCCATGTTGGAGTTAACCCCC